ACTTCATAACTACAGATGTCAGGGCGACAGGTCTGTAGTCATTAAGTCCACTGATGGAGGGTTTCTTAGGGACTAGAATGACGGTGGAGAGTTTGAAGCAGGAGGGGACGTCACACAGCTCCAGTGACCTGTTGAAGTTAAGTGTGAAGATGGGGGCCAGCTGATCAGTGCACACTTTCAGGCAGGAGGGGGTCACGCCATCTGGGCCTGGTGCCTTTCTGATCCTTTGTATTTTAAAGAGACCACGCACATCCTTTTCACAGAATAGTGAAAAAGTGTTAATAGTTTTTGAACAACAACAGATGTCTACGTCACAGATGAATAACTAAACCAGGTTCTGGATTTAGAGAAATTATGGCAAACACACAAGATTCATTGTTAATTTTGTCTCTTTATAGGAAGTTTTGAAAATAACAAAACACATAGAAAATCACTAGGCTTATTCTTCAACAGCACAATAGGTTGTGCAAGCTCCTGGAGTTTGACATTTGTGTGTCAGCTATGTCAGTCTCCAGTGAGAGGAGCTATGATGCAAAAGGTGCACATACAGTTCAGCTGAAGGTGTTAAAAATGTGTTTGTTCATGTAGCGAACATGACAGTTTACCATAGCAATACCAGAATGTAAAGTTACATTTTTCATTTGAAAAGAAGACTGATAGAAAATGATTTGATTCTGATAAAGGGTAATAAAGGTCTGTGAGGACTTTTGAATCATGATAAAAGCCTTAGCTCTTGATATGACAAGCTGCATCACTGGCATCATTACAAATACATTATTTAAACTTGCCCTCTGTTGACTGCTTTCAAGCATTGTTCTTGAACTACACTGCAGCTGTCTAACAAAGAGATGTCAGAACATCTTTGTCTTTCATTTAGTAAATACAAAAAGTGATTACTCAGAGTAAGCTTACAGCTGTCTTTTTTAGGTCAATTGTGTAAGTGTATTTCTACTTTTTTATCTTTCTTTAATACCATCCCCGAGGGCTGGTATTTAACTTTAATTTGCAAACAGTCTTTCCTTTTAACAAAGTATTTCTGTCTTTATAACCTCAAAGACATTTGCCTGTCAAGTCCTTTTGAATCCTGACTTGATTTTTGAGTTTATCAAAATATTCTCTGCTGCCGTGGCTGAGTGGCATAAAGGGGAATCACATGTAGTGTTTAAAGTAAATGATAGTAAAAGCCTGCAGATGCAACTTTAGAGAGCAGACATAAAAGAGTAATATAGTGAAAAAGTGTTAATAGTTTTTGAACAACAACAGATGTCTACGTCACAGATGAATAACTAAACCAGGTTCTGGATTTAGAGAAATTATGGCAAACACACAAGATTCATTGTTAATTTTGTCTCTTTATAGGAAGTTTTGAAAATAACAAAACACATAGAAAATCACTAGGCTTATTCTTCAACAGCACAATAGGTTGTGCAAGCTCCTGGAGTTTGACATTTGTGTGTCAGCTATGTCAGTCTCCAGTGAGAGGAGCTATGATGCAAAAGGTGCACATACAGTTCAGCTGAAGGTGTTAAAAATGTGTTTGTTCATGTAGCGAACATGACAGTTTACCATAGCAATACCAGAATGTAAAGTTACATTTTTCATTTGAAAAGAAGACTGATAGAAAATGATTTGATTCTGATAAAGGGTAATAAAGGTCTGTGAGGACTTTTGAATCATGATAAAAGCCTTAGCTCTTGATATGACAAGCTGCATCACTGGCATCATTACAAATACATTATTTAAACTTGCCCTCTGTTGACTGCTTTCAAGCATTGTTCTTGAACTACACTGCAGCTGTCTAACAAAGAGATGTCAGAACATCTTTGTCTTTCATTTAGTAAATACAAAAAGTGATTACTCAGAGTAAGCTTACAGCTGTCTTTTTTAGGTCAATTGTGTAAGTGTATTTCTACTTTTTTATCTTTCTTTAATACCATCCCCGAGGGCTGGTATTTAACTTTAATTTGCAAACAGTCTTTCCTTTTAACAAAGTATTTCTGTCTTTATAACCTCAAAGACATTTGCCTGTCAAGTCCTTTTGAATCCTGACTTGATTTTTGAGTTTATCAAAATATTCTCTGCTGCCGTGGCTGAGTGGCATAAAGGGGAATCACATGTAGTGTTTAAAGTAAATGATAGTAAAAGCCTGCAGATGCAACTTTAGAGAGCAGACATAAAAGAGTAATTTTATGATACAAGTTATAACACCTAGGTGTTTTGTACAGGTAACTGAGGAAACCCAGCTTTGGGTTAAACATTAATGAAATAGAATCTACAAATGCAAAGTTTCTAATAAGGCAGGGGATTGAAACCATGAAAAATATGCAAAAACAAAAGAAATCCAGAGATGATAATTTGGAGAATAGGAGAATCTGCCTTTAGGAGTCTGGCCAGGAATTACTCTCCGTCTGCCTGAGAGTGGAATTTAGCAGTGCTTCCTCTTCATTTCAGGTGGGAAATGCCTACACATGCACTGTCTCATGACAGATGTATTGATGCACTGCCTGCACTGGGCAGAGTAATGGCCTTCCATGGGAGTGCAGGTCTACATGACACAGAGAAAACCTGTCTGTGTGAGTGTGTGTGTGGAGCCTCGGTTAATTATGAGCCTCTCTGCTGTCAGCTACCAACATGATGAAGAGAGAGTGAAAAGATAGAAAGAAGTGTTTATACCTGGACTTAGTTAAGCAGACATGCTCAAGCAGATGCACCCTTCGGGTGAAAAACAAGGCCCTCAATGCAACAAGGTGTATAAAGAATTTCACTCTTAAACTGACAAGCCCATTAGCACAGTTATCTTGGCTGAAGGAGCCTGAGGCAGGTGGACAGTTAGGAGAACTCTTTAACTGCACTATCAGCAAAGCAGTAACCCACAGTGATCCTCATCTGCAGTTTTATTTTGCTTTTCTTTACAATTACCAGAATTCCCAAAAGCCATACACCACAAGATGTGGCACAGGTGGTTGTTGTCATCGGCAGAGCATGAGGTTCTTCATGTTGTTTAATGTGAAGCTGCAATTACTTTCTAGCTACTAGAACTTGGTGAGGAGTACAGACTCCATGGGGGAGAGAGTGTGTAGGAAGAGGACAATCCTCAGACTTAAAACCAGGTGACACTTCAGTGAGTTCTGCCTGCGACCACACTCCCCTCTAAATTGGGTGTCCGCATTAAATTGGCTGTTTCTGTGGCTTTGTCTTGCAGCTCACAGCCTTTCCCACCCTAAGAACTCATTTCAGTATCTGTGTTAATAATAGGTACATGGTACTTCACACTTGGCATGGTTAGTGGGGAAAATTTTTATTCTGAAAGATGCAACGTGGTGGTGGTGATGGTGCTGGTTGGGGGATGGTGTCACCAAATAAGTTCACAAATTACCATTTACATCATACTCTGTGCACAAATTCATGATGAAGAGCGGAGCCCTGCTAAGCTGAGCTATTGTGTTTCACTGGGAAACAGATTTCTAAGTGGTAATTATCTTTTCTTTTATGTATTTTAATGAATAGAAAATAACTGTATAGGCAATCTCTGCTCTTCTGGATATGATATGATATTTACAGTTTCTTCAACAAATTCTAACGATAAATTAATGAAATCATGAAA